AATTCGTTCATGTGTCAGGGTCCGCGTAGGTGGGGGAGGGACAAGCAGGCGACCATGGATGACGTGTCAGGAACCAATCGTGTAGAACGGACCGTGATTGGTTGGGGTTATTTATTGATTTTTCACTGTAGCGGGGACCATTTATTCTAGCTGCACTTCCAGACCTTCTATTTCACTGCTTGCTACCCGACTGTGGGGAGATCTTTAAGCCACATGGTAAAAAAAAAAAACGCGTCATAAAAGATCTCCTACTGCATCTTTAAGCCAAGCATACACTGTATGATTTTTTTGCCGTTTTCTGCCGATTCTCCAGTCATGCGAGATTTTTTTGATCGGGCCGAGTTTCAGCCTCATCGTGCATTGTGTAGTATACAGGGGGTAATGAGGAGCGATTGGCCTCTCACGACAACCTCCTGCTCAGGAATCAAAAGGGAGAGAAAATCAAACATGTTTGAAATTCAGTCGGCTGTCGTTAAGTGTTGGTTGGGAAAATCCTGCAGATGAAGCAGAGCTACGAGCCTATTTACCAGAACCTCGAGCACTGCACATATGCAAACAAGGGAGTTCTTCTTCTTCCAGATTGATGAGTCTGACCAGCGCCGTCTCTCGGCGCTCAGTCTGATGACAGATATTTGATGACAGGTATTTAATAAAAGTAAACAGTGATTCCGATTCCCATGGCGTGGCTTTGATCTCACCAGCAGTGAGAGCAGCTCTTGCTGGGGATCTCCCATCCTGAGCTCCATGAATGCATCATTGATGCCTCAGGCATTTGTTCAGACACCCTTTACATCCTGCACTGTTTCCAAAGTACTGGCTGGGGCTCATTTGCATGGAGATTTGCAAAACAAATCCAGCACATCCTGCTTTATCTCTACTTGTTTCTGCCTGACAGAAGAACACAACGTTTAGACTAAGCAGGCCTTGACTAGTGTGTGTATTAATTCTGCACTGAGTTGATTTCTGCAAAAATTCTAGTAAGGCTGAACTTTTATGCATTTTATATTGAGAACAAAGAAGTTTATTTCGTACGTTTTGTAAAAAACTGCAGCAAAACAAGCTGATAATAGTTTTGGGAGGAAAATAGAACACAGGTGATATTTCACATTGAAAATATAATCTAATCTGTATTAAATAATGCTTTTTAAACCTGTTGTAAAACACTTTAAACATAGAGAAATGTTTCAGGAGCCAGTTTCCTTCAGTTTTTCCCGTTTTTCCCCAGGCAACCCCTGGCAGCTAAGCCCCTCCTCTTCCAGGACTCATGTCCTGTTTGCTTAGTCCCACCCACAGGGATCCTTGGCCTTTTGTCTTCTTGGTTACCTGTGCACCGTTTTGATTTGCTCCTTCTACTCACACCTGGATTTTAAGCAGGAGCACGTCTAACTGTTTTGGAGGATTAAATGCTGACCCTGGTGCCTCTCTTTGCCAACAAATTTTGCATATAGACCTCAGATTTGTTTGTTAGACAGTAAGCCTTCATGTCCATCCTCTTCCCCTGTCACACTTTGATTTCTATAGCATGAGTTGCAGTTTTTACAAACATTTTTCCACATCACTTTAAATCATCAAGAGTAACTAATTTTTTTATTTAATTCTCTAAACAGTTCAGTTTAGATTGTTATCTACCTGTGTGAAAGTGGATTTCCCCCTGCACCAAAAGTAAAAAACTGGTGAAAGAGTAGGAAAAAAAGTTGAAACAAAAACAAAAATCTGCAGAAATCCTACACATGTTTATGTTTTTTATCTTGTTTATTTGTATTGCTTCATCTATCAATGAACTATTAACTGTTAATGATCACAAATCATACTTGGAATTTTTTAATGATCAGTTGCATTAACAAGTGAAATAAAATATCCACAATCACTGTTTGTAGGACTCAGCCTTTGACCGATGAAATGGGTTTGTAATGAGTTTTTGTGGTTTTTCTTTGGTTTTTCTTTAAACGAATGACAAAGTTTGATTATCCTTTTTGCTCACTGTATATAATTGCACATTTCCTTTTAAATTGAATTTTTCTAATAAAAATGATTAAAATAAATGCATATCATACTGTGTGTAACATTTAAAGTAATTCTTGTAGGGTCTCAGAGGTTTTGATCCGAGAACATTAGAAAACAAACAGCCTCTTTAAAGACAAGAAAGACTGCAGACAAGTCAGAGATAAAGTTATGTTTAAACTAGGGATGCACGATATAATCGGCCCCCTATCGG